GCTTAGTACCTGGTTGGTTTTTGTGAGTATTATAATTTGCAGAGAATGGTATGTCCTTGGTTGACATTGTAGACAAGGATGTATTACTGTATGTTTCTGCTTCAACAGATTTCTGAATTGACACTTAGTGACAAGTGCATAAATCTGTCCTTGCACATTTCACAGCTTTCTGCAGCAAAAAACTTTTCATTTTAATTTTTCTTAACCGCCCTCATGGTAACCCTCCTCACAGAGTATTGGTATTATATGACAAGAAATATGACTCTCATGACAGGAAATATAGCTGTTATATGACACTTATATGACAGACAAACTAATAGAAAGTTTAGGAGGGCAACTGAAGAAGAAGAAGGAGAAAGGATATTTACATAGCAAAGCTCAGTTACCCATGCAGAGGAAGAAGAGGCTGTATGGATGGGTACAAAACATGGGAACCAGGGGCATAGGGAGCTCATTCAGCATGGTTTGTTGGGGGCAGATCATCACTCAAAAAGCAAGGCCAACTAGATCAGCTGAGCCACTGCTTTTTCTGAAAAAGACTCCCAAAACTCTCCAGAAGTCTTTAAAAAGTTTATTTCAATGCCTTAACCTATTAGAAGGACACTCCACACATGAGTGAGTCACATATTTTGGCTAGGTTTGGGGTAAGGTTTAGAGGAACGAGTCTAATGGTAACATAGTGAGTGTGGAATGAGAAAGCTGGAGTCAGTGGTTAAAAGCAAGCAGGGGAAGGAGAGCAGAAGATGTAGTGCTGAGGGTGAAGCCAACAAGCAGTTAGCTCTGACAGTGTCGTTGAGGAAACCTGTTATTAATCCATAGTGCTATTTCCAGCACAATGAAATGTCATGTTTTTAGAGGAAAGAAGACATATGCCAGCTACTGTGCTAGAAGGAAAAAAAAATGCTCTTAAAAATCCATGCACTGCAATTTTATGTGCCTGTGAGGTCCCACAAGCTACAGAATCCATGTACTATGCCTGTCTTGTAGTTTGCAGTTTATTGGAGATTTTCACGACCCACCATAGGAGTGTGAGCCACGAGAACAAGTGAACAGGTAAATGTACAAGTACTCAAATGTACAAGTACAAGCTCTTTTTGCTCTTGGGACTGAAATAGCAGGGCATATTACCACAGGGGTGCTGGTACCCAGCGTAGTATCCCAAGGCACTCCCAGTGGAATGATAAATAGGGAAGAATAATGTATTTTTTGGAAATATTGGAATTTGGAAATGTTTCTCAATCCACATTTCAGGGATAGTTTTAGCAGCATCCTTCCTTCACATATAAATACAAGTCTTTCAATGAAGAGATTCTTCAGTGAGAATGACTCTCCATAAGCCTCCTGTTTAGTTTTTTTAATTTACCCACAGATTCTATGCCCGCTATGGTTTATGAAACAAAGTGACATAAATTCTTCTGTGACTAGGATCCAGACCATAGAACTGATTTCTACCGATCTGGCTCGTTAGCTGCATGCTAACATAAGGTCCTTCACTGTCTCTCAGGTCCTGACAGGAGACTAAGTCCCTGTGTGTGATTTTCAATCACCTAGAGACATTTTTCTGATGGCTTTTAGTAGCATAATGCACTGGCAGCAGTGACTGTCAGAAGAGAAGAGATCTCATAAATAGATCATGCAATGCTATTTTTGACCTCACTGTTGGAGCATAAGTATAGGTTTCATATGATGAAAGTCTTAGCTTTAAACTTGGTAAATATCTGAGTGGTGAACCACAGATACACTTGGAACATCCCTGAATACTTCTATCACAATTTCCAAACTGTGATTCAGTTTTCTCTGTATTAAGGAAGGCATTTTTTAACTCAGGAAGGCTGAGGTTTTTAAATGAAAGCATAGAGTCCTTTCATATCTAATTTGTGGACAGAATCTGCTGATGCCCATGTTCTTTATGTGCTTTGTAAGCTCTTCTTCTGCCACCAAGAACCTAAGCTTCTTGTGAAACATGGAAAGCTTCATCACCAACTGCATAAAACCTTGGCCCAGGAGGGCTTCTAAACCAGAATACAATACTGTGTCTTTGGGTTGTTGATTTTTAGATTACATTTTTGCATCTGTTTTTCATTGTTTAGATTTTCCCAACCAAATTTCCATATGAGAAATTAATGTTAGCAACTGTATGGGCAAATGATTTTAATAAATATAATGAAGTATTCTAATTTAAGTGCTAAAAGATGAATTAATGACTGCTAAGACTATTAAGAATTTGTAAATCATTTGTATTGAAGTAATAATATGATCATAAGAATTCTTAACTATGCAGATTTTCCAGACTTTATTAGTTTGGACCAAGCCTGTTTATGTTTATTTGGAGATCAAATTGCAAGCAATATTCAGAGATGCCCAGACATTATAGCTCTTTTTAGCATGGCAATTAGTGCTAATAAGCTAAAGGTTTATACAGAGTGCTAGAGAACTGGTTCTTGCTTTTAATAGATCAAAAAGAAACAAACTAAAAACCCAGGAACTGGAAATTCCAGGAGCTTCAGCTTCTGCAGTTTCTTTGTTGTTTTTCTTTTGTTGTTGTTGTTGTTGTTGTTATTGTTGAGGATAGAGAAGCAGCAGCTATTTGCCCTACTCTCACTGAAGTACTGACCTGATTTTCCTTACTGAACACTTTTGATAGTTTTACTTGGCCCATTACAGACAAAAGGTGTTTAAATGTGGTTAGTCAGACAGACAGACAGTATTCTTTTCCATAGTAATCCCCATAGATTTTCAAAGGATGACAACCTCAAGGGCCATCCCAGTGGAATTCTCATGAATCAATAAAATGCAAGAAAAAGTAAATGCTGCTATTCTGGACTCACCTCATGTCTGCATCCTACTTTCAGTTTGGCAAACTAAACCAAAAGGCCTCTCATATGTGCTTTGAATGCGACATGCTAATACTTGCATGTCTTAATGAGGACATAGCAATAATTAAAAGAGAAAAGTGTTCCAGAAATATATCAAGAAAACTGTCATCCGTTTACTGGATTGGTCACTGATCCAACTGGTCTGTTTGATTGCTGCAAAAGCTCTTGTGTCACATGCCTTTGGTTCCCAATACCCTGCGTTTGGCTGTGATATTACTTGGCAAGCAGATGAAGTCTTACTGGCTGGATCTGAGAACTCCTTCCATATGCCCTCAGTTCTAGCTTTTATCTAATCAACTCGTTATCTCAGAAATTTCTTAAAAGAGGTGAATTCTGAGGTTAGTCCAAATAGATTCAATTTTCTGCTGAAAGTTTCTTTCCACAGTATTTGACAATTGGTACCCAAAATCCTGATTAGAGCATAGAAAAGATCAGGTTTCATCTGACTCTTTTAATCTCCCTTCAAATAATAGACATTTGCACCTGACTTCAGAATATTTGAAGAAGATTTAAACTTTGCTTTTATTTTCCCTCTCATTTTCAATGAGGAAAGATAAACTAAATAACTTGGTTCTTGTTCATTCTTTTAAAATGTCTAAGGTTAGCAATATCAATGGCATCGTGTAATATTTTATGTTGTACTGAACATTTTTATTGTTCTTGAGATCCTTCCAGTGATGAAAACACTCGTTCTTATATCTAAAAAAATCATCAAATTTTCTTTCACACATTATTTTTCATCTGAATTTTCTTTGTATCTTCTTGTGAAGGCTTGAGGATTGCAAAGGGCTATTTCAGTGTTCTTTCTTTTTTTTTTTTTTTGTAAAATATGATGTGGAGAACTCAAAACAATCCAGAGTAAGTTAGGAGATGTGAACGTTGCTCTTTCATTGTAGTGTGGTATTGATTCACCCATCTGTTAATGTTTTGAAATTTTTGACTTTCACAAAAACAGTCATATATTTGAAAGGGTGATTGACTTTTTTTTTAATTACCTTAAAAGCTAACACGTGTATATCCCTGAGATTTAGCCTAGGAATTCTTTTTGGAATAAACTGTCGAATAAATAAAACATTTCAAATGTGTTACTTTTAAGCATTTGTATAAATGTTTTTCTCCATATAAGACAGTAAGAGAAATCAGATGCCATGTGTCCTTGGTCATCAAATGAAGGGGGCATCTCCCAGCTGCACTGGTTGGAAGTTGCTCTGAACCCCAGCAGCCGAATTTCTAGGAGGAGAGTCCTTGCCAGGCCCTCAGTTCTCATACATGGTCTTCAAGCAAGCACCTTCACACCTTCTCCAGTGTTGTACAACCCATTGCAAACATGCTTGGTCACTCTCCTTCAGCCTTCTTTGTGGGCTTCTTGATTTACCAAAACATTAGTAATCTGAGAACAGGTTGTGAGTCAGTATGTTTGACTGGTGCCTGCCGTTACAATTACTGCAGTTATTCTTTTCCTTGCCAACACTATTTTGCAGAACGGAATCTAGTCTTTTCCCTAAGAAACTGGCTCATACGTTGATCATTATTGTTTCTGTGTGGGTTCTGTCTTTTCATGTTGTGTATGCTGTCTTAGTGTCTTTCATTTGAGGTTTATTTTGGCCTTGACTGTAATCTCTCTGTGATACAAAATTTCTTACTCTTCTAGGTTTGTAAAGGAAAAGCAATACAGCATTCTGTTCCTTTAGTAGAACTCCATGATATGGTTATAACACAAATGTGCACAGAAAAGCAAATATTACAGAGAAACCATTTGATTGCCATTTGCAAAAAAAAAAAAAAAAAAAAAAAAANAAAAAAAAAAAAAAAAAAAAAGCGATCAAATTAAACGTTCAGAAATGTGCTTCAAACATTGAAATAGTATTTTTTGCTTGTGAAAAAAAAGCATTTTTATTTTTAAGACATCTGGCAAAGAGCAGAAGCTTTTCAACAAGCACAAGCCACTTTCCACAACTGTCATACAAATCAAATACATCTCTGCGGGTGATCTGTTCTCAAAGAAAGCACTTGCTTTGTAGAAACAGCAACCACTGCATATCGGTTGGGATGTATGTGTAGATAGGTATCACATAGATATAAGGGGATGTTTGCTCGTTTCATTAAACACCGTTTTTGTAACAGATTAAATCCAATGGTGAACTGCTCATTAAGAACGTGCAGCTGCGGCACGCTGGAAGATACACGTGCACCGCACAGACGATTGTTGACAATTCCTCGGCTTCAGCTGACCTTGTTGTAAGAGGTGAGTTTTTCTAGGTAAAAGCAAAACATTGCTGTTTTTCATCTAGATAAGCAGAGGGCTTCTTATTTTTTTAGAATATTTTATTCCTCCTCCAGAATTGGCAGAGATTAAAAAGAGAAGAAAATTGACAAATGAAATCCTTGCAGTCTTCTCAGGATCCTGATTGTATTCCACATTTTTATATATCCAAATGACCACGTGCTTTCCTGAAAAGTAATAAAGCTTCTATATTATGTCCATCTTCCTGGTGCTGGAAGAATTCTTAGATGGTTTAAGCTGCTGTCCATTATTATACAGCAAAAATAGCTTTAAGTATCATTCGATTTATCAATTGGAAAATATGTTTAGGCAGACGCTTTCAATTTTCTGTAATGTTTTATTGATTAAATAAATTTTTATTAAACTAAGCCTGCATTATAAGGATCTGAGTTTTCAAATGACAGAAACAGTGGAATGGTAACATTGGCTTCAAACGTTCTTAACTCCTGCTTGTTCCTCGTTCATATGATATATATCCTACAAGATATGTCACAGTATCTGGTTTCAACAGGGTGGGATAATTTGTGTGCTTGGAGCAATATACTCCTCTTTTTTGCCCCCAGGTAGAGCATGTTCTGAAGTGCTAATGCTCTGTCCTGATGACAGTTCTAAGCAGACATAATATGTACTTGAGACTGCATTGCTGTTGTGTTTTTCCCCACATTCCTGTTGTTATATAGCAGCATCCAGACTTTGAATATCTGTCATCTGAGGATGTATAACTTCAATATTTTTGCACTTAATATCAGTGCACCTAATATGCACTTATTTTGCACTTAATGTTAATATTTTTGCACTTAATATCAGTGAACTTAATTTAGTAAGGACCAGCTTTTTGTGTTCCGAAAAGATGCATAATTCCAAGTAATAAACGAATTAAAAAGCTTTTGAGGCACTTTTTTTTTGGCAACAAAAGAAATAGAGTATTTCACAGAGCTGTTTTTAATGGAGATATTGCTTTAGGGCTTGAATGGAATTACAATCTGAAGAATCATTGCCTGTCTCCTCTCCTGTTCTGGAGGTGATACATTTAATGCCTCATTTATTTAATGGCCTACCTTTGTATCTATGCCTGAAACTGCACTGCAACCAAACCAAACCACTGCACTGCTCCTATTTAGTGTCTTCTCCTCATAGTGTCACAGAAAATAGTGACTTCTTGACTTCCTCCCCTTTTTTTTCCCCCATGATTTTTTTCTGAGTTCAGTTCAGTTTTCAGAAAAGATCATTAACAATCAGAAGTATCACTTTTTTTTTACTGAAGAAATCTCAGTATTACTTCTAAGGCAGGAGATATGGAAGGTGCCTGGGGCATTTTTTAACCGCAAATGCAGATATCTCTGAACCAATCTAAAGAATATTAAAAACTAATTTTATTTGTCTAATCTGTTCCTCAATAAAATATGAGACTGGAAAGTGTCATAGCTGATCAGTACAAGTTTATTTTTGCAATATTTATGAATTGAATTAATTTTTTTTCTCAGGTCCTCCAGGCCCTCCTGGTGGTATAAGAGTAGAAGAAATTAGAGACACTGCTGTAGCACTTACCTGGAGTCGTGGAACAGACAATCACAGCCCTATTTCTAAATACACTATCCAGTCAAAAACTTTCCTATCTGAAGAGTGGAAAGATGCTAAAACAGGTAAGAGTAGCACCAAGGAAGAGTAACGTGAGAGTCACAGGTTGTGAAGTCATGGGTTGTTAAGAGCTTGGCTATTAGAAAACATGGCTAATCAGAACACAGCTACAATATAAAAGGAAAAGGAAACCAAGAATGCCATAAATATCAGCCATAGGGTTTGGGAGCAGTGCTCTCTTAACAGTACTTTGCCAGGAGGTTTTTTTTTTTTTTTTCATTTGTTGACTAGGAGTGCCTGAAGTGTATTCTTTTTTTATCCTGTTTTGCCTCTTGCTTTATGAAACATGTCGCATCAGCTACAGGAATCATAAAAAAAGTATTTGGAGGATAATTTTATGACAAACAGATGCCCTCCTTTATGTATTTATTATGCTGAAAGTTAGTCAAAATTGTCTTGTGCTTCCTGTGAGAAGAGCACATTCCACTTGCTTCAGATCTAGTATTCCTAGAAAAAAACAGCTGAGTATTCTTGTAACCACTGGATGTCATCATTGTGCCACATAATTGCAGCTGAAAAGGCACCTATCTGAACACACAGCATGATAATGTAGAATATGTCTTTGTAAAAGTTATAATGTCTTTGTTATATAGATATATACACCATTGTAAAAGCCATATATCTCTGCAAATGCATCAACTATGAAAATATTCTAAAAATACTATTACAATAATTGAAAAACAAACTTTTGTGCTCTTTCCATTATGTTACTTTTTACGTCAGGCTCTGGTTTCTCTAACCTGAGAAGCAGCAGTAGTAAATATTTTCAAATATGATACACTCAATTATGGTCCTAGCCTTGTTAAGACATAAAAAGCTTTTTCATTTCAGTCCTTCTTTTGGTTTTCCAACTGTTTAAAGTTTATTATAAGCCCTCCTACAGCTGGGTTGAGGAAACATATTTCTATCATCTTCTCTTTCCATATCTATGACACGACACCATCCGCATCATGGAAACAATAAAAACTATTTACAGACAGAGTTTTGGCCTAAGAAGAAAGCTACATGGACTCTGAACTGGAAGAGTAGTTCTTCTACACACCTGAGAGTGGAAGCATTGCTATATGCAGTACGGATCTCTCATATAAATATGATTCATTATACCACTGTAATAAATTGTAGCTAAGGTCCCTTTCTGTGGAATTAGAGTATCACCTACTCATCATTTCATGAGAATATGAATAGTTTCAGCTTTTTTTCCCATTTATATTGTTCTTTGAAACTACAGAGTTAGATGTTGAAAAAATAGTTTGACATATTGATCCCAAAATCTTGGTGACATCTGCAAGAATTTTGGGTGTAAAAAAGTTGAAAATTTTAGGCCTATTGCCTTAAATCATATTTCTCTTCTAGAATAGCTCTGATATTATCTCCTCTTGCGCTGTCTGGTTCTGGAACTCCAAATATTTGTGTAGGAGATAGGAAAGCTGGGTGTTTCCATAATCATTTCATGAACTAAATGTGAATAATTTTGGTCGGTTCCTGCAAGTTTAACTTCATTTCTGGGCTCCTATTAGCTTGGCTCAGTGTTCACTGTCATATGAAAGAAGCATGCCAAAAAGCCCAAACCTCTGATCAGCAGTAAGGCTATCATGTAATGCTTTTAATTTTCAATGTGTTCAGTGAAAAATTTGGGCATTGCACTTCTCAATTATTATTGTTATTACTATTACTATTTTTCCTGAACCAAAGCCTTCCTCTAAAGTTGCATAATATAAAGTTGCAAAGGGTACTTTGTGAAAGAAGTTTGTTCTACTTCACAGTGTGAAAATATGTGTAAATAGGTTATATAACACATTGTTTACATTAATATTGCTCTTCCCAGCTAAGAAGACCAGAGCATTTTGATAGGATTAATTCTTGTAATGTTGATCGTTCATGATTATTCTGACATGATACAGTAAGATTAAATTAAGAAATTAAAATCAGTCCAGCAAAAGGAATGACAAATTTATATTACGTCCTGGATACCGTGGAAGATCACTATGCTTTATTAACTGGATAGAAAAATAATTTGAGTGAAGATAAAGAAGATTGTTGGGCTGACAAAAGTAAAATGGAGTTTGCTTCTCTGCAATATCTCATTTTGGAGTTAAAAATTGGATTAGGGAAAGGAGAGTTCTCATAATCTAACATTTACTCTGATATTCCTTCTTTTTTTTTTTTCCTCTTGTAGCCAGTTTATTCATGTTTTAATTTCAAATTAGCTGCTTTACAAGCACAGAATATATTATTCCCAGCTCCCTCTCAACGTACGTTACATTCTTATTTGACAAACAACTCCTGGCTCACTAAAGGAACCAAAAACCTTCTTCTTTCTACAGCTGCAGACTAACAACCCCTCCAGTTGGTGAACTATAGACAGAAAGAGACCCAGGCGTCAGGCATTTCACTTGTGAGGAAACTCACCCTTTTAAGAATAATAAATATTTTTAGCAGGGATTGTTAGTAGAAATTATCCTCATCTGGTAAGTGATGAATAGCTAGTCGTAATTGTGCACCAATAAGGTGCACCAAAATCTGACTACAGTTTATAAACCACTCCTTATCTACTTATGGTGACTGAATTTGCATAAAATAATTTTTATTTTATTTTGTTTGCATTCTAGATTTCTCCTTGCATTTGTCCAGTGGCAGAATGAAATTCTCCAACTGTACTATAAGCACATCTCCTAATTAAATGTATTTCTGTTGCTAGGTCACTCCTAGTTGAAACCTACAGGCTTGCAGAGGTTTAGTCAAGACAGTGTCACAGTTTCCAAATTCCCAGGAGTAATCTTTGTAAATGTGGTATCACTTGTGTGTAATATAATGTTCCTCCTGTTGGCTGTGTGTGAATGCAGACTAGCAACAGTTTTGTGTAAATCAACCAAATTACTGCCTGACCTCATTGCAAAAATGCTGTTTTCTAAAGCAATTTTTTATTTCTTTTAGAACCATCGGATATTGAAGGAAATATGGAGTCTGCTACAGTAATTGATTTAATTCCATGGATGGAATATGAATTCCGGATTATAGCAACAAACACATTGGGCATAGGAGAACCTAGTATGCCATCACAGAGCATTAGAACAGAAGGCGCTCGTACGTAGACAGAAATTGTCTAGTTCTTTCTTGCTTTCTTGCTTTCTTGCTTTCTTGCTTTCTTTCTGTTTGTTTTTAAAAGTGCTTAATATTCTCACTTTTTAATTAAACCATTTTGTAATCTTATATGAAAAGCGATTTTAGAAGATTCAAATCCTGGAAATGTTTTTCTGGCTGCTCACTGCTGAGGATTGTAGCAAGCAAATACCAAGCTGTCCAGATGCAAAATATACCAAAAAAAAAAAAAAAAAAAAAAAAAAAAAAAAAGAAATAGGAAAGATTTTAAATAGTAAAATGTTCAGTTGCTGTTTGTCTTGTTTTATAATTAGAGAATGCAGGATGGGGTGTGGGTTTTACTGGATAATGCAATTGTTCTGTGATTGAAGGTTTGCTCTGGGATCTTCTCATAGCATGTCAAATATGTGACATTATCCAACACAGCAAAAGCCCTTATCTATCTAATTGCTCATTGTTAAAATCTCAGAGCATGATTAAGGATACCCTTTAAATACAAGCGGGTACATTATAAATAAATTCTCCAAAATGAAGAATTAGATGTTATACTTATTATTCAAGCTAATACATTCCATTTTGACTGTAAAAAAGAGGTAACAGAAGTGCTCTGGGAGGTAATATGTCACTGCAGAAAGACTGGGTCCAACAAAGCCTGTTGGTTTTGTTTAAATATCAGTATATCCTCCTTAACACACATTAGCATCCACTTGCAACTCCAGTCCATTTATAATTTTAAAATACCTGCTGTCCCATAGCTTAACATTTGGAACTAAAAATGCAAAGCAAAAGGTAAGATAAAACATTACAGTTGGACCTGCCAAGTTTATTTTCATTGGATGTGCTTTATCAAAATAAAATCTATTTACATTACATATTTCAAAGCATTTATTAAAAAAAAAGACTCACGTTTGGTTTGTTAAAAATATATTACTTAGGGATGGAAATAGGGATTGGTTAAATTAGTCTAGACAGGGAAGGAAAGTCTACAAAAATAGTAGAAGGAAATTACTGTCTGTAAAATTGGCTATTAACTCTATGATGTGTTGAGTTCACGACTCAACAGATGTATTTAAACAATGCCCAGAGCTCTAAACGAGAAATCTACTCAAGCTCTTTGGAGAGCCTGGCTCATAAAGACATTTTCATTTTGCAGAAGTAAGACAGAAGTAATGCTCACAGCTGGAACGGTGGTAGCATCCTGCAGCGTGTAGTGCACCTCATTCGTGGAGTTCCTTTTAGCCTCCTTTTCAGCCTTAAAAAAATAGCAAATCCTCACCTTTTGTAGCAGGATATAATTTTTTTTTTTTTGCGAGATTAGTCATTTGACTCATTCTTCATGCCCCGATACTGTTGTCTTCTCTGTCAGCTTGTAGCAGACATTTTTGGCAAGATATTAATGCACACCATCCGAGGCAAAAACATGGGCACTTCTTGCTGTGCCCTAAAAGAGAGTGTAAGTCAGGAAAGGTCTAGAGGGGAAGTGCTGGGTCCAAGCCCCTGTCCTTCCAGGAGCTGGGATTTGCTTTGGGCAGCAGCAGTAGGATTTGAGCAGCCTCACAGGGCTGCACTGCCTGGACTCTCAGGGCACCACGGAACCACCACTGTGTGTTTTCATTCAAACCTTTATTGGACACATTCCCTGAAGAAGGTAAGTATTTTCATGGCTCAAACAGGAACCAATTTCCACATGCTGTAATTATTTAATAACTGTTCTGTGTTACACAACAATTAACCTCTCTGTTACACAGTATCACTGATGCAAACTATGTTTGGTAAACAGTTATGTTATCAATGTCTTTATCAGCTCTGATATCTCTCTTCTTTGCATTTGGATAAAACTTTAATTATAGTAATTAATATTTTACTATCATGCTAGGGATATGTGTTATGGGGAAAAAATGATTTGTTTTTTCTTTCTTAGTAAAATCTACTGTTTCTTCAATGATATCTATATTTCATCCTGACTTCTTGGAATTCAGTTAGTCAAAGGCCACTTATGTGTATTGTAGCTTCTAGACACATTACAGAGTTGTCTTAAGTGTTGCTGTCTAAATTAAAAATCTGGTTTTAATGGAGGGAGAGAATAAGAGAGAGAATCATGAAAAGAATGATTTATAAAACTTTAGCCAGTCTTTTTTTCTTCTCTGTCAGCCTGTATCTCTTTGACTAAATAAGCATTCTAGTGAACTTCTACTTCTAACTTAGAACCAAAGTTAGACAACTCACGATAGACAGTGTGACTTTATATATAATTTCAGTAACAACAAGGTTGGGTAATAAGTTAATAAGTTGGGGAAAAGCTTCATGTTGATTTATCATGATATATATGTTTAGCTTAATTTTCCAGTCATTTGTCTTCTGGAAGGCCAGAAATAATTAGTAACTACTAAATTCTGATTACAATTTCCAATGTTTTGTTGTTTTTTCTTTTCTAAAACAGTTATTCTGGTTTTCTGTTTCTCCTGAGTTAACCCTAATAGAAGGCCTCAGTGAGACAACATATAGGAACTGTTTTCTTAATGTCTTGTAATGTTCAATAGGCAAAATGTGTAATAATATAAGAATTTTTAACACACACACACAAACAAATGTTCATGTAGTTAAAGCATGTAGTTAATACATGTTCACCTGTGGCATATTTAATGTGCCGTAGACAAGCTTAACCATCATTTCCTAAGCTTTGAGTGGACTTAGTGGAAGTTGTAATGACTTTGCTTGTCATTAACATAGAAAGACACTGGATAATTTAAAAAAAAATAGCAATGCAATCATCATATTTAGTACAAAAACATTCCCAATTCCACAGCTCTTGTCGAATGTTTTCTGTATATTTTTGTACCAAAGATTTTTAAAAATGTATCTTTACTGACCTCCTGAGAGAAAAGACCCTATATATATCTTAGGAAGTGCCTATATTAATTTTTCAAGGGCTTACTCTATTTGAGAGCATTTAAACACTGACAGAGTCTGAAGTGAGAATACAGGAATGACTTGTAATGAAGCCTTTGAGAATATCTTGTGTTACCACTCAGTTGTGCAATAATGTTATCTCCTTACAGCTTCTTTCATTACATGAGATGTCAGCATAAAATGCAGTCAGTCAATGTCTGTAACTGCTAGCCAAACTTCCATCTGAACATCTACCCATGCCCACAAATATGCCACTAATGTGACGTAGAAAAGGATTAGGATGCCAATACTGCAAATATTTATCCAAGGGTTTAACTTTACACACTGTGAATTGAATTGTACATTGCAACATTACACATTGCAAATCTTTTGAAACAGGGGAAACTAATCAAAGTTTATGTTAAATACCTGTTCAGGTGCTGGGTGCTTAAGCCCTCAGAGCAGCAGTGAGAAGCATGTGCCACACTTAACTGGGAGGAGTGTTTGGTTTCTGAATGATTAATTCAATATTTATAGAGAATATAGTTAAAAAGAAGAATGATTGATTGCTAGCGATGGTTGGCACTGGCAGGTTTCCTGTGCATTAGTCTTGGCAAGACCGCAGACTCTCACAGCTCCTACTGACTATCATTACTGCAATTGTGGGGGCACGTATTCTTGTTGGCCCTACTAGTAAAAAGAAAAGTCATTCATGAATTTTACTGATTGTGTGCTTCACAGTCACTTTTCTTCTCTCTTCTGTTTTTCTAGCTCCTAATGTGGCTCCTTCTGATGTTGGAGGAGGGGGTGGAAGCAATCGAGAGCTGACAATAACGTGGATGGTACGTACTGCGTTGCGATGGCATGAAATGTGTATTCCCCTGAGTTTGATCTTGTTCCTACTGAAACCAGTGGAAAGTTTGTCACCGACTCCTGCGAGGGCAGAATTTGAACACTTTACATTGCTGGTTGTATCATGGTGAAACTTAACAGCACTAATAGAGAGGATAATACTTCACAATGCCATGGAGACATCCAGAGTTGGGATGGAGGATGTCACTTCCCCCTAAGCTGTGTAAAGTTGGTCCATTTCTCTTGAAAGCTTTATCATGAAAAATTACATTCCACCTTCCATCATATATATCTTTACCTGACATTTTTCAAATTTGGAGTTCTGACATCAGTGCTTATCTTGATGTTTATGTGGGGTTTTATAAATATATGTTAATGTTTTAATACATTTGTTATCTTTAATTTCTGAAGTCCAAACTAATATGTTCATACTGATCCAAAAATCTGGTGAGTTTTCTCAAAAGTTTTCTTTCTCATAGATTCTATAGGATTTAATTTTAGATTCAAACAAATATAAATGTCAAAATGTGTGAGCCATTTTTGGAGTCATTCATTATTAACATCAACATTTCATATATCTTTTTTCAGCATATCTGCACACATGTTGCTGCAATAGTGGGCAAATAACTAAGGAGTACTCCTAAAATTGTTAGATTTTAGTAAGGAGTACTCCTAAATTGTTAAATTTTAACTCTTTAAATTGTTAAAGATGTGCATAGGCATATGGTTAGGTATCTTTAATATTGAAACTGGGAATCATCTTATTTAACTTTTACCAATTATGCAGATAGTCCAAATTCCCTATCCTGGACCCCCTTCAGAGTCAATAAAAAGAGGAAAAGAGGAAAGGATACATCTTTTTCTCTTCATCATCTGTGCAGGTTGCTTCAGTGACCAGCTTTAGCTAAATGACTACAATTTAGGCCAGAGACTTAAATATTTTCTGTTTTGCAAGAATATCTCCCACATGCACATCCTGGCATTTTATGACATAGTGTGTCTATATCTGTTTTCTCTTCTTAAGAAAGTCTTTTTTTTTTTTCTGAGACAGGTGAAAATAGTTTTAATGCAGCATAGTTTAAATACAGGTTTCTTTCTGTACCTGATGTGTATTGCAGTAAATTTGGATCAATAACAGGAGCTTAAAACGTATTAATAGCATTTGTGCTATAATACAAATCTACATAAATGAAAATAAATGCATTTTAAAGGCAGGAGAAGCAAAACAGAGAAGCATGTGAAGCAGTGAAAAATGGACAATATTCTTACAGTATGCAGACTGCTCCCTTCTTTACTCTTTTACTATTTATTTTTCACTAGAGACTTGTTTGTTTTAATAGCTACAGCTATCTTTTACTTCTTTAGCCCTTATCACGAGAATACCACTATGGCAATAACTTTGGTTACATAGTAGCTTTCAAACCATTTGGTGAAAAAGAATGGAGAAGAGTCACAGTTACTAATCCTGAAATTGGCCGGTACGTGCACAAGGATGAATCGATGCCACCTTCAACCCAGTATCAAGTAAAAGTGAAAGCTTTTAACAACAAAGGGGATGGACCCTTCAGTCTCACTGCTGTCATTTATTCCGCACAAGATGGTGAGTAAGGATTCCAGATAAGTCCCATACTGACAGCCCAAATCAGCAGTACCAGACTCAGTAAAGAATCAGCACCACAGGCTTTGGTATGAAGTACAATCAGACAATTACTTGTTCCTGCAGCAAGGAGGGTCTAGTTTGCCCACACAAAACATCTGTGATTCTGCTGCATGAAGGTCAGGCTCTACTTCCAATGTGCTGGAGAGCACTGGCTGGTACTTTCTGCCTGAACAAGCAGCCCACAGAAACACTCAAGATTTTTCAGACAGTTTGTTAAAAGGTTTAAGAATTTCAAAAACAAATTGCTGTCTTCATATTTGTTGCCAAAAACATTGCATTGTGATTCAGCAGTTGTGTCTCTGTCATCCTGATAAATGCACGATTGGCACTGGAATTCTCAAGTGAATTGTTGGAAACTGAGGGGCTTTAAAATATTAATTTAGTAAAATAATTCTTTTTTTTTGTCATCTATGAGCAAAACACAGGTGAGTTCTTTAGTTAGAACTATTGTCTATTTTTGTTGAGCTTAGTGACAAAGTTCCAAAATTTAAATTATTAAACGATACTTATTTACTATTGAGCAAATTTATTATTGAGCAAACTAAGGTTTGTGCATTAGATTTCATTAATCTTAAAGTAATTATATTATTTTCTTCTTAACAGGCTATACTTAAGTCTGTTTTCCTAGTGCATCAGTGGCAGAATTTAACCCCAAAACCGTTCCTGCAAAAGGAATGATGATTCAGTTATATTTCAAGCATGGTTTCAATCAAACATGAATTAGTCCTGCCACATTCTTTTTTTCTAGTTTGGATATTAGAGCCATCAAGTGAATAATTTAAGAAAAACTGCTTTGACATTTCAGTAAAATCTTACTCTTAATTCATGCTGAAACTATTGCACATGCTGTGATCTGTGGGATGAAAGTTTACATGATGTTTCCAAACTTAACAAAGGAAAGGAATCACTAGAAGAAAGTTTACCTTAAATCAGAAGAAATATATACAATACCTTAATTACAATGTAGTCACTCAAGTCTGTTTAAAAACAAAATCACAATTTATTAATTTCTGCCAAAAACTCAAGGAGTAATTACTCACATTTTTTTTCTTTACATAGAGCAGAATTTTTTCACTAAGTCAGCAGATCCAGACCAAAGAGCCAAGAGGAGGGATAAGATAACAGGACTGAATTCTCACACTTCCGACTCGTTCTTCACTGTGTATACTTTTAGGAGATTTATGTTCATGACTCCCATTAGCACTAATGGGAACTTTGCATACAAATCGCCCACACACAGAGAAAAAGATAAAATAGCACTTTTGTTCCTTATGATAATTCAGAATCCAGTTAGCAACATTTAGCTATCTGAAGTGATTAATACTAATCCTTTTTATCATAACAGTATACCTTAGGATATCATCTTCAATAGCTGCTGCAGCAACAGAATGATTATTTTTGTAATTGTATAAATACCTCAATAAATTGTTATGGTGTCATAAAAGCCATATCTGCCAAATAGCATTGCAGTATCCATCCTTTGTCAGAGAAATTATCAACAGCCACCTGATAAGCTGCCGTGCATTTGTTAGGATTATCCAAAGTGTGTGAGGGTTAGGAGTATGTTTGTATAGCCCTCTAAGTTCAGAGACGTGGCAGAGCCTCGTAGCTCCAGAAGGCAGAAGAAAAGCAAACACGGATTAGTGCCAGCTTCCAGATAAGGGAGTCACTTCAGTGATTGCTGACGTTCAGATTTTAGCAGAATTCAGATGCTTTTTTTGACTGAGTTCATTGCCGGCAGCAAAACCAAGTCGGCTCAGCAGCCTGCTTTCTTTGCTTACCAGCACAAGAGGCACTGGGAGAGTTTGAGACTCCTGGTGCTTTGAACGTTGCTGGTGGTGCTAACAGCTCCTGTGCAGGGCTGTGACCCTGACTATTGACTACGCGAAAAAACAGGAGCTGCAGGACAGGCTAGAGGGCATTTTTGCAGCAGGTGCAATGCAAGGTAGTTTAAAGGACATCCTGCAGAGATTTTTTGCTTGCATCAGGACTTCTGCAAAGTCACCTCAGTGCTTGGTAAAGTTCCACTTGGAAAATAGCTGTGTGATGAGCACCGACTTTTCAGGGAGGCATACCTGATCACTTTTTTTTTTTTTTATTGGTACAAAACTGGGTTAAAATGCTGGAGTAAAGGAGCTGATGTCATTTTCTTGGCTAAGGAGAGACTGTCTGGAAAAATATTTATAGAGCATGATTGCCAAATAGGGAAATAAATTATTTACAACTCATAAAAAAGCATAAGCAGATGAAATATTGTATAAATATTTGTGATCAGTGAAATCACCCTACCCGTTGGAAGTTTTCAATATAAAACATTCTGGCCAATTCTGCAACTGATACAATGGAAAGAGTTACTGACTTGGAAAAGGAATTAGCTGATTAGATCGGTTCCATCTGCACTTATCTGTGATTCAGCACATGACTTGATGGTGTGATTCATCATCAGATAGCAGAATTTCTCAAAAGTATTATTGCGATTTTAAAGGAATATAGTCATACAGTATTCCACACCTACTTATATAAATATGGCTATATATAAAAATGTATATATAAAAACAGCATTTCCACAGAGTTCTCTTTTTTAATATAGCTATGCATGTCTATTTATACTCTGGGCATTTTTATTTACTTTAGACACTGTTGAGTTTCAGCATTTTCACATCCTTTAAGCCACGCTACGTATCTGACAAGTGCAGTAGCACTAGTCATACCTGTCATTGCTAGTAATGAACGCACAGACCTCTTGCTTATCTGAATTCCTGTCATTGTGAAAACAGTTTTGCAATAGTGTATCATTTTAATTATACATTTGCATTATTAACAGTCACTGAAAGACAATTAGGAACGTTTACTTTGCATATAAAATTATTTTGTTACCTAGGACACTTTTCATAAGAGACGTAACTGATTTTTTTTTCTTTACAGTGACTGTTTTGATGCATAGTTGACTTGTTGCCCAGTGGAAAGATTAAGTGTTTGAAAGCTTTCCTGAGCTCGGGCTGTTGTGCCTGTCTGTTGCAACTTGTTTCAAAAGATTCATAAAAGAGAACTGTTCTCTAGCTTGAAAAATTGAATTTTTCATAGACATTGCTAAGTTAATGTCTTTTAAATTCCTTACCTCACTTGAAATGAAAGCAAAAGTGATCTTAACATCTTCTTATAATTGTCTGCGTTCTGCATTGGCTGCTGTCCAAAACTAAGAACACACAGAAAAGAGAAAAGATCAACTGCATGATGTGAACCTGTTAGGAGGGTACTCTTGGATTATTGCACACATATGTTCAAGTTCACATGGCCAGCTCCATATCTAAATCTGATCTCATACAAATTTCGTATCGTTATGACTAAATGACATGCACATGATTATTTCTGTGCAGCTGAGCTGCAAAACTTAATGCGTATGCTTTAATCTGTAGGATGCTGCCCAGTTTAGTAAAAGATTACTGGATGCATCCTTCTATTTTTATCTGGGACTGCTTTTAATTTACATAGATTCCAGTGTGTAATCTAGAATGAAACATGCAAAAAAGTCTTGGCCAAAAAATATGATCATTATTTCATTTTTATAGAATCGTTTCCTGTAATGATCCTCACTAAATTTGAAGTTTACTCAATAAAACCAGACTATGGCAGTTGGTCCCATGATATCAGGAGAAAAAAACAAAATATTGAGATAAGTCCCTAAAAGTGAGTATAACAATATCACTGGATGAGGTTGAATGGTTAATGTATATTTCATCTTCCAGCTCCAACTGAAATACCTACAGATGTGAGCGTAAAAGTTTTGTCATCTTCTGAAATCTCTGTTTCTTGGCATCATGTTTCTGAGCAATCTGTGGAAGGATATCAGGTGAGTTTAGAGGTGCTGTTGGCAACATGTTTTCTCATTCATTTAATTTCTGTAGTAAATACAAGGATAATTCCCACCATATCAAAAAATCCATTTGTCCACTGTTCAACAGAAGAAAAAAACATTAATTCATAGAAAAATATTGTGTGTTTATGCTAGGCAATTGGATGCCCATTTCAACAGTCTCAAAACCTCTAATTAAGTTTTCAGTGTAATTAACAATGTAGACATTGCAATTAACTCATGACCCTTTAAATTATTAGCATAATTCCTTAGCAAAATCCACAGTTAAGTGGGAGTATGTGACAAGTGACAAAAATCCAGTATAACAGGTACTGCTGTGTGAAAGAGCAGTATTTTGTACATGCGTTCTACTTGCTCCCCCCAAACACAAAACAAAAAGAGCTGCAGGATGTCCAGTGCATATGTCCAAGCATAAATATTGGTACTTGTTAAAGTTATTTCTGTTCTTCTACAGAGATGAGAGTAGTCGCAGGGTGGGTACAAGCAGAAGCAGCCACATGGCTGGACAGCAGAGGAGTCTTTCTTCATCCACACCCAGTGAATGCTGAAAAACTTTGTAGTGTAAAACCAGCTTCTTTTGGCTGCTCTCCAAAAAACTATGGACCTTAGCACGTCAGTGGCTTGCTTAGTGCCTTGCTTAGTGTCTCAGCTACTTGATGGTAGATGGTGTGTTCCAAGATGAGCACACACAAAAATGAAGTAACCTCACAGAATGCATTTTTATGATTGAAATCTGTGAACAGATTAGAGAAACGGGTGTTTTTCTAATTAGTAGCACTTGTTTCTGTGTTTCCTGATCTATATTTCTGTCTCCATGAGATTTATGTAATACTTCTGGAATACTGTATCATAGCATAGGTGCAGGTCATAGCAAAGATCTTGATCTGAACTAGTGTGCCAGAACTTGATTCTATACAGTTCAGGCATAGAGCTTAAAATTATAAGCATTCACTTTCTAAACAGGCAAAACAGATGTGCAGCCAGCATACTCTTGGGAACATCTGGGGAGACAGAGCTGCAAGAGGAGCAAGATGGGAGAACACTGGAGCAGATGGGATCACAGTAGCAGTAGGGATGGTAATAGGTGTGGAGGATTGTAAGAGGGAAGGAGATCAGGAGTGTGAATGGGTGGTACTGAGGATGAATAAGGAAAGAATATGGAGAAAAAATGTTCTTCAGCACATTGAAGTTATTGACCACTATTTTATTTTACATCAATCTGTCTTATCGCTGTGAGGGAAGATCAGGGGAAGAAGGGAGGGGAAAGGATTCAACAGAAAAGAATGTGGACCCAAGAAGAGAGAACAGAGGCGCAGTGGGAAAAAAAGCATAGAGGAAGTCGAGACAGGAAAGAAAAAGAGTATTGTAGTTCTGGAAAAAATTAAAAAAAAAGATCAGATACATTGGGAATGGGTGGAAAGTCCTATATATAGAATGCAAAGGTGGGTAATGTGGCCCTAAATTGATAATTGGAGCCTTATTGTTCATCCTCATTTGAAATGAGCAGGCCCAACTAGGTATTCGTTTGAGAAGTACTATGCTTTCATAAATGAGGTAGGAAGTGTGAATTGTTTTCTTAAGTATTTGCAAGTGAGTAACTGCACTAACATCTATAGCTGCACCAGCTGCATTGTATTTTTCTAAGACATGTTTCTCATTGCTATAACTGAAAAAAAAATAATATTCATCTATATAAAAAAAACACAAATTGATAGGCCTGGAACTCAGTACCATGTGGCTAAATAAGATGTTTATTCCAAGATCCTTTTCTCAATTATCAGCTTCATTCTAGAAGAAGGCGAAGCAAATGGACCTGCACTGAGGACAAAGAGGAAGTCTCAGGCTCCTGGAGATCAGAGGTCCTGCCTGTCATCAGTCCCGGAGAAGCCATGGGACAGGAGGGATAGAGAGGGCTATTCCGGAGAGTCAGTGCCATACATTGCCATTATTAAGTTGCAGTAAGACCCATGGGGTGAGGCACACAGACTTTGTCAAAAAACATTACAAAATTCAGATGAACAGTGCAATCAATATTCCAGTATTTCATTTTTTAAGTTACTGCCAGATTAGCAAAATCCCTCATTCTTTACAACACCTTCTCAATTTTATTTTAGTCTTTACTGTTACCTGAAAAAGACATAATTGCTTTTTTAAGCAATTTAAATGCTAGAATTTAGGAGATGGGAGTACTGTAAGCAAAGCTCCAGGAGGTATTTTACCCGTGATGCAGAGCTTTTCACACCAGGAAGAATCAAATTTTCTTGACACTAATACATACCGCAGCATGACTGCCCTTATGGTGATGAGTGTGAGCTGATACATTTTGCCACTTCAGAGGAGAAGCCTCAGCTCACACTTAACAGAGATAAAATAAGAAAATATAAAAGACCTTTGCATCTGTAGACAGGATTTAAGATTTAGGAGTTTATGCAGTGTCATCTTCAAAAGCCACAGTTCTTTGGTACAGGCAATACTACAGACTATATTTCCTGCTACTTCTATATAATAAGTGCATTTTTATTTTGTTGAACAAATTCGTCATTATTAGCAATCGTTGTCTCTTTTTTATAGAAATATGGATTAGCACATTCTCTTAATGTGAATGAAGTATTCCTTTTATTTCTCTCATATGTAAACCTTTCATAAATAGAAGGCTGTTGTTTCATGATGCTTATAGAAGCACCTGCTAGAGTTTTTCAGTATAATATAAATAGAGGAGATAACCCTAAACAACAGTATGTTTTTCCTGATTTTAGCACAGGGGACTGCCCATTTGTGGGCTCTCTGCCCACAATTGATTAAATGGCCATTGTATTGGATTTGTATTATCTCCAACAGCAATTTCTCACCTGGGGATTTATAAGCTGTGGGTGTCCACAGCAAAGTAAATAAAGACCATTTAGGATTTAAATTTATTTTCATTTCTAGATTATATTACTCCTGTCTGGAACTTCATATGTTATCAGTGAAGTAATTTACATTTTTGTTCGTTCTTCTCACTTGCTGTGTCTGATGCTCTATATTGCTTATTTTATTATGCCCTTAGTGTAGTGTAAACTAACTGTTCATAGAATCATAGAATGCTTAAGGTTGGAAGGGACCTCTAGAGGTCATCTAGTTCAACCACCCTGCAACTCAGGGTCACCTGGAGCACATGGCACAGGGCGGCATCCAAGAGGGTTTTGAAGATGTCCAGAGATGGAGACTCCACAATCTCTCTCAGTCTTCCCTTCTCCAGGCTGAACAGGCCCAGCTCCCTCAGCCTTTGCTCATAGGGCAGATGTTCCAGGCCCCTGATCATCCTCGTAGCCCTGCGCTGGCCTCTCTCCAGCAGCTCCACATCCCTCTTGTACTGGGGAGCCCAGAACTGGACACAGTCTCCAGATATATATATAGTACTCCAATAACATAATTGAAAACTTCTCATTTCTTTGGCCAGAACTACAAGAAGGTTGAAGTTATGAGATGTGTTACACAAAAAGTATCAGGAAAGCAAAAGCAGAGCTGGATCTATATTGTAGGAAACAATATTAAAGTTATGAGTCAAATACTCAGAAATACAACAGCAAAAGAAAATAGTCTTGTTCTCTTAAGCCTTTATCCTACCTCCAGATTTTCACTGTCTGTAGTAAAGACATATTCACTATATGTCAGTTCTAATAATTTTCATTTGCATCTAAGTATGATTAATTTAATTATTTAATTTGATTGCTTGCAGATTCGTTACTGGGCTGCTCATGATAAGGAAGCTGCTGCTCAGCGAGTTCAAGTCAGCAATCAAGAATATTCAACCAGACTGGAAAACTTGAAGCCTAATACACGGTATCATGTAGATGTTTCTGCTTTCAACAGTGCAGGCTATGGACCTCCCAGTAGAACCATTGATATTATCACTAGAAAAGCACGTAAGTACATGGAGCAATAGATTACTTATAATGTTCTGTACTTTATTGTTATCTGTTGCCTCATACCTATCATATCTTCAGACTTGGCTTCTCATCTATATACCCAGTTTTCCTTTTACATAATATCAGATCTTGATATGTAAAGTTCTTCCAGGGCACTTCCTCGCTTCTGCTGCCATATACAATGTGGACACCTCGCACAAGACAGTAAGGAGATACAGATTTTAGGATGATAGGATAATTCAGGTTGGCAGGAATCTCAAAAGATCTCTGCTCCAACCTGCTGCTCAAAGCAGGATCAGGCACAGTTACTCAGAGCTTTATCCTATTTGGTATTGAAAACCTCAAAGGAAAGTGATAACTTTCCTGGGCAACCTGTTTTCTCGGGACTGACTTCACGGAAGATTTTTATTATATCCTGTCTGAGTCTCTTTTATTTCAATTTATGCTTATTGTCTCATCCTGCTGTCATGCACCACTGTGATGAATGCCATTATATTATGGTTGCTGCTGCTGAGGTTGTCATTGATTATCACATCCCCAATAGTTCTCCATGTTAATCAGATCCATCTGTGTGTGTTCCTGGTTGTCCATACAGCACCTTTATCAAGAAATTATCCCTGATACCCTCCTGAAATCTTCTTGATTACTTTCACCCCACTACTTTTCTCTGTGAGGATATCTCGGGGAACTTAAAGTCCCCCATAAAAACAGGGTTTGTGATCCAAAGACTTCCCTGTATTAATTAAAGGCTTCATGTGCTCAGATAGTCTGTGACACACTCCCACCACAATGCCACCCTCAGTGGTCTCCTGATCTTGCGTCACAAGCTTTCATCCAGCTTGATGTCTGTCCCATAGAAAAGCTATACAGAAATGCATACATTCAAACTGCTGCTTCACATAAAGGGCCACCCACCCTTTCCTGTTCTTTCCTGCCTGTCTTTCCTGAAGACCCAGTATCCATCCATCACAGCACTCCAGCTGCACCAGTTGTTCCACCATGTGTCAGTTATTGCAGTGATGACCAACCTGTTGGCAAAGATGCTTTTCACTCACTTGTCAGATGAATCCTTTCTCTGATACTGCACAGTCCTCTGAGAAGCCATCATAGTTTGAAGAGCCTTGTTGTCCACACTAGCTGTACGAACAGATGTTAATTCACAAAATCTGTCCACTTCCACTCAAGCTCTCCCCACTCACTGTCAAGATTAGGGAGAAAAATACCTGAGTGCCCTTGCTTTAGACCATCACCCTCAGAGCCATGTATTTATGCATCATTCACCTGAGGTCTCCCTGACAGTATCACTGGTGCCCACGTGGATAAGCAGCAGGGAATTGAATGCAGCCTTGTCTTCATAATAGAGGCAAAAAAGTTGTTAACATGACTTATATTTTAACTTAACATTTTTAACTATTTTTTACACTTGAATATTTGCTTCCCTACCATGGGAATGATGGGACATGATTATCAGAATATACTGAACACCAATGAATTCTGGAAAATAACACTCCTACTATACCAACTGTGAAGTCCAGAAAACTGGAAAATTTGTTGCCTTTCTAAGCTGTGCTCTGTCTTTGGGCTACATTCAGATTGCCTATCATCTAAAATTGATTTTGGCCTATGCAATGACATCTCTGATTAACAATTCAGACCAGCTATCACTTAGGCAGCTGTACTCTGGCTTTCCATTTAATCAATGGTGAAAAGTAAGGGTTGTACTGACTATTAAAAAATGTCCAATGACCTGATTCGTTACCCATAGAGGGAGCCAGGATCTGACAGCCCTGTGGGTGATCTGAATCAATCTTGAATTTGCATACCATAATAGGTTTATGAATATAGCTCCTTGTTTAATAATGATACTTAGCACTAGTATATCCTGAGCAATATTCAATTAAGACACGCATCTTGTTTATTAAAAGCACACTTACATGGGTTAAAAGTATGTCCAACTAATTTGAGGGTTTCTGTCAGTAAATATGATGTTGTGCAACTTAAAGCTGCAGGGTTCATTTGTGTTGAGTAAGAAGACTCCATTTCAAAAGCTTACTGTGTGAACTATAATTAACACTTTCTGCAATAGGATACTCTGGTTACTGCGGGCTTTAATGCTATAGATATGCAAGTGGTTAATTAAACATTTAATCTCAATGAATAGATAAGACATTATCTATTCAGACCACATTTCTGGGAGTTCTGGACATTGCTGCATGCCAGCAAACACACATGGTCAGCAACATAGTAGAGGGTAATCTTGGTCAAATGGTTTCCATTTTGGCAACACAGAAAAGCAAACCCACAAAGCTGCTGCCATATGAGCCAAACAAAATAGCCTAGTTGGAACTGCAGAGATTCATTCCAGGAAGGAGACGACCCCATGTTCATATAACGATCAGCCATAATCTTCCCTTCTACATGCCTTAATAAAAATGTCGTTGAAAGGTTATGAAAGTTCATTTATGTGCACATTATATGTTTCTTGCTTTTCAGCTCCAAGTCAACGTCCAAGAATTATTAGTTCTGTAAGATCTGGTTCAAGATACATCATCACCTGGGATCATGTGAAGGCAATGTCAAATGAGTCTGCAGTTGAAGGATACAAAGTATGATCTATGAATCTGTCTTTTTATGTATCCTGTATGGGGTATATTTGATAGCCAATGTTGAATTTTGATACCTACTCAGGTTTAAATATGGTTGCATGCTACAGATGAGGTTGGCATGCCCAGATATCACAGATGTCCCACAATCTTAAGGTAGTGACTCTGTCAAAGGTATGAGGAAGCATTGGAACTCTGAAATTCATCTCTGTAGCAGGCCATATTGTGAGAAAGTTCTGCTCAATGACAGTAGCAGCCTGATTTCTCATATGATAACATCGATTGTATATTGGCTAGAAAGAGTGTGTTTTGAAAAATGTTACAGTTTGCTAGTTTCCTTTTAGTTCTAGCTTTCATTTTCTTCAAGTTTCATTGTCTTCAAGTTCCTAGAACAGTTCCTAGAAGACTTGTTCTTTAAAGTTCAGGAGTGTAGAGGAAGAAAAGGAACACGTCTTGTTAGATGCAATTGCTGCATGTGTACTATGCACTGGTAGAGCAACTGTGCATAGGAAGTATAGACCATATAGAAATATGTACTTCTGGCATACAGAAAGCTTCAAAAGTTCATTCCTCTTTAATTTTGATGCTTTCTTGGCAATCAGAAAATTGGTATCATGTTCTGCACACACAGATTTTGTTTGATGAGGTGATTGCTTCCTGGAAGTCACAAAAATGCTTCCCAGACATGATTCCAGAAAGAGTGGAAATCTTTACTAAAGGTTTCACGAGTCATGTACTCTCACATTTGCAATAGCTTAATGGCATTGAAAATTAATAATTATGTTGTTTCATTTATGTAAATGGTATTAAATTATTTATGTCTGAGAACGCATCTAAGAGGTGAGCTTTTTATTTGATGCTGTTTGACATCCTGAATTACATCTTGTATCCTTTAAGTAATTAGTCTGAATCCGGGGGCTATTTTTCAAAAGGCTAAGTCACTTTATAACAGATAAAACAGTGAAGCAACATCCTATCTAGATTCACCTTGTGTGAGAGTGAAGAAAATAATACTTGCTACAAAGTTTAGATTTTTTTTATAAATAAAAGCCTAATATTTTTAAATCTATACACCATACTTATATAACTGTATTCAATGAAATGTAACTATATTAATTGTGTCTTTCCTAGGTGTTGTATAGACCAGATGGGCAACATGAGGGCAAGTTGTTTTCAACTGGAAAGCACACAATAGAGGTCCCAGTCCCCAGTGATGGTGAATATGTTGTTGAGGTCCGAGCACACAGTGAAGGAGGGGATGGAGAAGTAGCTCAAATAAAAATTTCAGGTGAGCAGATAACTTTTCTTTCCTCCTGCTCTTTTGAAAATGCTGGATTAAATATCTTTTCTTCTTCTGGTCTGGAATGAGCACACCATTGCTGTCTGGAAGTGGAGAGAGAGCTCTCTTGCAGTACCTAAACCAAAATTTATCTTAAAATCTAGCTGAAGACTAATATTACACCCAAGAAACTTCAGCAGTAGTCCAGCTAAACACTGGAGACACCGCTGAAATTCCCCATATGAAACTGGTTCGGCTACTGTCCCCGCTCAGACTGCCACTTACACAAGCATCTTACAAAAGTAACACTGTGGAGGAGGCCTCAGGCTCATGAAATCTGCTTGCTATAATTCTATATTTCCCAGTGTCTGTCAACTCTGCATCTCTTTCCTGTCTCAACTGCCAGTAGGAAGAAAAAAGTTGCTGAAAAAAGCACGTGTTCCACAAGTGAATTCCAATGCAAGTTCCACTTCAATGGCAACAAGGAAAGCTGTGATGCGTATAGATGGATAGCAGTGAGAAATGCAAGTGCTCAACTTGCAGTGATTTGCACTTTAGAGTTGTTTGAGTGAACGGTAGCCAGGGCAAGGGTGCTTACATGGACCAGACTGAATCCACTTGTGCTTTGGATTGGTTCTAAATATGAGCTCAGACATGGCCATCACATCTATGTCTTTCCTGTTTTGTAATTAAACAGTTCTTTTAAGTAGAACATGTAAACAAACATCAAGGACTTGGACAGTCCTTTGCCATGGTGTGGTTCAAACAATTATATTGTATTTTTTATTTTTTTTTTCTTAAAAAAGGAATTAGAAAAATGTAAGGATTGAATATCAACATCATTCCTTATCATACAGGCAATTCAACAATTACTGTGTTCTTTTAAAAATCAATGCTTTTGCTATGTTATATTATCTGTGTGCTGTGAGGGAAGTTGTCCATTCCAAAAGGAAAGGATCAGCAGTTTTTCTTTAGTATATGTAACCGTGTAATTTATGTAAACATGGAGTGTGAAATCACTGGCATCACCACTGTGTTTGGGTAAAGCTTCCCTTCCGGTCATAATCAAGTGGAATCCAGAGGGAGAATCCATCAAATGGAATCCAGAAGTGGATTTCCACAGCTATTTCTTTCTGCACATCTCTGACTTCCTTTGGGGATGCAGACACTAAAACGATCCGCAGCATTTCAACCCTTCCCTTCTGCTGTCTGCAGAGGTCTCCTCCCTGCACTTACTGTAGCCTGCATTATTCATGAAAGGCCACATTAGCCGTTTATTTCACTGCAGTGTTCTCTAAAATGGTGTTCAGTTTGTCTGCCCAACACCAACCCTAAATCCTTCCAGGGGTGCTTCCTTTCACGGTACAGTCTCCCACTCTGCCCCATGTGGCATAGCTCTTTTCTTTTTTAATGTAAAATTTTGCCTTTGTTTATAATAAAACAAAGTTGGTTTGAATGAATTTAAGTTCCCAAGCTACCTGGATTTCTGTATGAATATATTCTCCTCAGCCTCCCTTGACACTTCATCATTTTGGTGCATGTGCATGTTTTGTTGGTTCTTACTCCTAAGTTAAGTTACTGTTGAAGGTGATTCAGTAGTGTTGGGTCTAATACCATTCCCTGCAGAATTACACTACAAATTTGATAACCATTCATCAAAAATTTTGCTTTACAAAAGCTGTAATCCATTACATTATATCTTCATACTCTGGAGGAATCACTTAACATATGTTAAACAACTTGCAGAATAGGTGAGGCAGTACCTGTCCTTAGAGCATATCTTTGTATCAGTCATATATTGTCATCTATCACCGGTGTAGCACCAAGACTTTTTAGGTAGCAGCCCTGGAGTTGAAGCAGGACTGTCACATCAGCATAATGTTTAGGCCCAGCTAATAAAGCTCACGTGTAAGAGCTTCCCCTCGCTGATCCTTACAGAGACACCATCCCTGTGCTGCACTGAAGACCTGATACCAACTTGGTCAATGCTGGTTTGCTGAGTTTCATGTAGCTCCATGGGTTTTTAGCCATGACTTTCACCATAACTGCAGAGAGGGAGGCCTAATGGGGACTGAGGTAAAGGCAGCATGCCCAGGAGTCAGTTTGAGAGGGGACACTGAGAAGGAGTAAAAGAAAGGGCAGCCTCTGTGCAATACACACTATGCAGACTACTGGGCGAGCATTTCAGGCTCTTGCTAGGCTCAAACCAGCTTTTCCAAAGAGCAGAATGAAGTGCAGTTTTAAACTTACATGTGGCAAATTGTGCCTGATAATTTCTATTTTTTAGGAAATTTTCCAGTAGTACAAGAAGGCTTAGGTTAATTTCCCAGAAAGGGTGGTTGAGAGTTATATGGCAGCTTTTAAGCAATGATGATTTTTCTTGGAAACTTGCAAAGAAGGGGAAAACCGAGTTTCCCAGAAATGTAAGTTCTTGTTGTCAGCCAGCCAGAATGGGACTTCTAATATATATACATGTATATATATATAGTGAGATGTAATCAATAGGTAGGGGAAAACATACAGCATCTTATCAAATTCAGAGAGGACTGTTGCCTTATTTGACCTTTAGACATATGATCCCCAAATCCCCCTCTGCTCCTCCACTCTGTCCCCTAAAAGGAAAAAAAAAAAAAATCCTGTATAAATTAATGAGTAGTGTCTAGGACATGGACTCAAAATAGTCTGTATACTGACCAGGAACTTTTAAATCTAAAGGAAGGATACATTGGAGAGGAGTGTCTAGAAATTGCATGTGAGTTGAATTCAAATCCAAGGTGCACCTCTGAATTAGGTGCATAACCTTCATTATAGTTAATTGTGATCTAGGAGTGTAATTCATATGCTAAGAAATAAGCTTCTAGTAGTAGAGATGCAGTATAGCACTGATGACATCAATGCAATGTTGACAGACCTGACATGATCTACAGGAGACCCGAGGTCTTCTGGATCAGCAATAGAGGCCAGGCAGGACACCAAAAGGCATCTTCTGGCCTATATTTCAGGCGTCTGAATTGCACCCTATGCAAGCCAAAATCATTTCCCTGGTTTTGGTGGCTGCTGTGCTATACTGCGGTGTTGTCCGAATGCCACAGATGTGCTCTGAGCACTTCTAAACACTTGCTAAATTAGATCTTTCAGTGGTTTGGGCACAAGAATATCTCATTCAGGAAAGCTGACTGGCCCTGACGTCTGCAACTTTTGTTATATTAAAAATATGACACATTTTAAGCAGCATTGTTATATCTGAAAGTCAAATACAAAAGAAGCTAGAAACATATATTATTTCTCATTCCATCCTTTGTCCAAGACACAGACTTTCTTTTATGTTTTTTTCCTTCTCCTTTTTCCTCCCAGAAAGCCTGGGCATAGGCTGAAGTACAAGGTAAACATTCAGAAGCAACTTTACTCTCATATAACCAGTTAGATTCCTCCTGGATTCTGTTTTAGTTCAGTCTGATATAAACAAAGTTTGCCAAACACGGCCATCACACATGCTTTTCTAGTTAGTGTGTATCCTGAAGTGCTTTTTATAAAATCATTCACTCCATATCCGCTGAGCTGCATTGCAGTGTATTGGTAAAATCAGTGTAAAAGATACTCATGAACTGTTGTCTTTTGTTTACCAGTGTCTGTTATACAGTTTAGGATTTGGGAATATTTCTTAAGGCCCTTATAATAAATTCATATTTAAAATTCCATCTTGAGATACCGCAACCAGTTGAATGTTGGAACTGCTTGTTTAACCAATGGAGTCAGTTTTAAGGGCTAATAGTAGGCTTATCTGTTTTCTTTTAAATATATTAAAAGCTTAGAATTTTTCTGTTCTTTGCATGCTTTCCTGATGGCATGCTTTGTCCTAATGCTAACATTAATGTAATCAAAGCAGCCTTGCAGTCAATACAAACTAAAAACATATGGTGCTTCATTCTTTCCTCACTTCACTCAGTCAGCTGCATTGGCCTCAGTGGAGTTAATTTATGCCAGAGTAAGGAAACAGACATTCAGGCTCTCAAATTTTTAATATTTCATCCATGAGGGAGAAGGAGAAATTCTGACTTGTGAGGAAATAAAGATACCATGAACCTTCAAGTATGAACTCTTTATAATGTCCCACTTTAAATAATGATATGGACTAAGAATAATTCATGCATTGTATATGCTTATAACAAGAAAACAAAATTACAGTCCACATTCACTGCTCACATATAGATGTATTTCATTTGCCAGAGGCATATTTTAGAATACTACAGAAATAATGACTTTAAAGTATATACCTTTTTCAAAGCAAAATGCATTTTTTTTTGTCATTTAGTAACCAGTATCCCAACACTTTAAATATTTTATCTTTTCATTTCCTTTTATTGTTATTTTAAAGTGGACATTAATATGTATTGCACATATTCGTCCCAAGAAAATCAGGTGATCATTCACCTTTAATGTGGTATGGTCAAAATCTTTTGATCATAATTCAAAAAAATGTCCATCTGTTGCAAAGATGGTTGTAGAACTAAGAAAAATAAGAGGATAAAACAGGCAAAATCGTAATAAAATTATTACAAAAGCAGATATCTAACTGGCAGTGTACGGCATGAAGTCTGTAATGATAAATTTGAAACTTACTACAATTTTGACAAGAATGTAGCAAAAATATTTTATAAAATAAAAATATCCTTCCATAAGAACTGTCCTGCATGAGAATAAATAAAAACTGCATTTGGCTGTTATCTCGTGTCTTAAAAATGAAACAGAAAAGTAGGAAATATTCAGCATAACCTCTAATCTGAACATATAAATTTCCCTAAAACAACATTCTCTAGTTCCCTGATGTTCCTTTTGCTTTCCTTTCATTATGACATTCAAATTCATCACTAAACATTGCTGCTTAGTTCCAGACCTTACCGTAACAGCTAAGCTTTGACATAATTTTTGTTTATTTCAATTTCTTGTATGTCTCTTGTAATCAAATTCAATCCAGGAAGGACTGTGGAAATGTTTTCTTCTCAAATGTT